CTTCTTCTTCTTCTTCTTCTTCTTCTTCTTCTTCTTCTTCTTCTTCTTCTTCTTCTTCTTCTTCTTCTTCTTCCTCTTCCTCTTCCTCTTCCTCTTCTTCCTCTTCCTCTTCCTCTTCTTTTTAGTTATACACGACAGTAGAATGTATTTTGGCAGAAGAGACATACATAGAGTACAATAGGTTCTATTTCAGTTCCCACCCTATCAATGGTCGCTCATGGCGGGGAGTTACCCTGGTGGTGTATACAAATACAAGGTTAGAAAGTTATGGCCAGTTAATTCTACTGTCTTTCCTGTTCCCCTCTCCATTCCCTTCCCTTCATTTCCCTTTGTCTAATCCAATGGATTTCTCTTATTCCCCTCCCCAGCCTCCTTTCTTTTGAGTTAGCATCCACAAATCGAAGAGAACATTTGGCCTTTCATTTTGGAGGATTGGCTTGTTTCACTTAGCATGCTAGCCTCCAGTTCTATTCATTTACCAGCAAATGCCATAGTCCATTCTTTTTAAGGCTGAGTAATATTCCATTGGTATATGTATTACATTTTCTTTATCCATTCCTCCATTAAAACCTTTTCTTACAGAGAAAGAAATAGCTATTAAGGGAGAGGTTTATGGGAGCTTCTCAGAGAGTTTCCGTCCTGTTACTCTCTCAGAGTCCTGGAGGCCAGAAGTCCCCAGTCAAAATGTCCTTGGGGCCCACTCCCTCTGAGGCTTACAGGGAGAGTCCTTCCTCTCCTCTGGGCATCGCTGGGCTGTGGGGGCATCTCTCTAATCCCTGCCCCAGTCTTCACTCGGCCGTCTCGGGGTGTCTCCATGTCCTCTCCTCTTCAAGTAAGGACACCAGTCTTTGGGTTCAGGAAATCGCTTCTCAAGATCCTCAGATGCATGAGATCTGCAAAGACGGCTTTTTCCCAGTTAGGCCCCAGTCGCAGGTCACGGAGGTTAGGATGTGACATTTCCTTTGGGGGACCTGAGTCAATCCCTGCCGTGTCTTCCGTCCTACTGGTGGCACCCAGTGGTCCTGCAGGGCCAGACTCCTCCTTTCACCCACCCAGTTTCTCACATCCTTGCCTGGGCTGCCAGGACCGAGCCTCTGCCGACCTCTTCTCCCCTCTGGTTGTGTGATGCAGGAGAAAAAAAGACAGAAGCCACTTGGGGACCTTGCTGGGGACTGAACTGGGGACTGCCCTCTTTGGACTTCCTTTCGTCCACCTTGTCGTCCGACCACAGCTGTTTCAACAGCACCCTCTGTGCCTCTTCCACTGACATCTCTCTGTCACCAGGTCCCTGTGAAGGATGGGCTCAGGGGAAGTGACCACTCTCTCTCATCCGTGTGCCCTGGCCCTCTTATGACGCCCAGCCCCTTGTCAGGGAGAGATGAGCGTCACTTCCATTCAGAGAGCACATTCTCTAAGGCCAACCCCTGGGGTGGGGACACCAGTCTGGCACCCCTCTCCAGGCATAGATCCTTCCCGAGCAGAACTGCTGAGGGAGGTGGAGCATGGAAGGCTGGCCCTTTAAGGAGTGTGGGTGGCGGGGAGGAAACTGAAGTGGAGAGGTGACCCCCCTTACCTCCCAGGGTGACAACTGAGCACCATCATCTCAGGAAGCCCCAGGCCTCCTCTGTGCCATGGGGGCTCCTCTGGGCAGTATCCATCAAGCC